ATTCTTACATTATAAATACATATTAGATATCATAATCAATATAATTTTTACACCATTAAAATTTACTACATAGAGATATTAAACCTGAAAATTTTATTCGTATTGGAAATCAGTTTAAACTAATTGATTTTGGATTAATAAGATTAAATGAATAATTAAAATAACCAATTAAACTTCTCACAATTAGGCCTGGAACAACTCAATATCAAGCACCTGAAATTGTATTAAATAAACAAGATTACTCATTTGGTATAGATGTTTGGTCTCTTGGTTGTGTATTTTATGAATTTTTTTCAAATGAACATTATTTCCAGGTTATTATATTTATATAAATTTAAGGAGAAAAAAATAAAGAAGTAGCGAACTAGATTTTAAATTGTAAATCAAATTCAAATTATTTGACTGGGAAAGCCAATTAATTATAAATATATGATTAGATAAAAATTTTAATGAAAAAAATGCTCAATCCAATTGATTAATAAAGAATCTAAATTAATGAAATAGTTTAAACTTTAAAGAGTATCTAACTAGATATGTAGAATATTGCTTAGTAAAATTTCACGCGTTAGTTTTAATGATTGAGTATTAAATTATTAACATCAAGCTCGATCTTATTTATATTTAATTATTGTAATAAAGCAAATTTATTTTGTTGAAGCATAGGTTCCTACTTAAAATCTTAATGAATTGAATGCTTTCTTAATTTTTGCAAGTTGGAAATGGTTAGTAGAAAAAGCTTTAGTCAACAAAGATAAATAATTATTAATAAGAGATGCATTTCTTAAAAATACTGAATGGGGGTTAAGATACTAAAATCATGAGGAATGCTGATACTTTTAGAGTGAAGTCAAGAAAGATTTATTGAATATTTTTATAGTAGGAATTCTAGTAGTTCAAATTACTTTGTCTACCTTGCATTTTCATCTGCTTGATTGTACAATTATGTAAGTGGTATTTGGTATTCAGAGTATAATGACTTTTAATCTAATTTGCTTAGTTTTTATGCATTTTTCAGTTATATTTAATTATATAATACCATGATACCTATATCATTGATAATTATTTTAGAATTTGTTAAAAGTTTTAAGCTAACTTTTTTAGTAGAATGAAGAGATTGCTCGAAGGAACAAATTCGCTAAATTGTAAACTACAATTTATTCTTTTTTTGACAAAATCGGAACTTTGATCTGTAATCAATTGAATTCAAAATATTTTATGGCAAAGAACAATTAACAAACAAGTAATCCAGTATAAAATGCAAATCTAAAAAAACAGAAAATTGCTTAAGTTTATCCTGAAAATCATTTGTTCAAACATTCTGTCTTTAATTTCCAAGATACTGAATTAAGCCAATAAAAAAGGTGAAGGATTTGCAGGTAAAATGCCAATAAATCTTAAAATTGCTTTCTAAGATAGTAAATAATAAATGTTTCGTTCTGATCAATTGAAGAATACTTTTTCCTACTCCTTCAGCTTATGAGTGAAAGTTTTTACCTAATTAACCATTTCTGAATGAATATTAATCATTTATATTATTTTAGTAAAATTGGATTAAGATGTTTACTCATGGCTTCAAAAATATCAAGATTTTAACCATGTTTAAAATAATTTACTACATAAAGAAACTCGATCAAATAATTAAGTAATTTTTAATTTATAATAAAATAGAAAATTTGAGGAAAATAATTTACTTTATATAGAGCTTTTGAAGTTGAAGATAAATTGAGCAAATCTAAAAGTTTGGATGTTAACAGGAGATAAATCAGAGATAAGATTTATGTATAAAGGAGAATAGAAAAAAAGTATAATTGTAATAAAGAGTATTTGAAGGATCTTTCTTATGATTTATAATTGATAAAGAAGATTTAGCATAAGCTTTTATTAATTAAGCAATAGATTTTGAAAGTATTTTTTATTGTAGAGTTCAGTCCTATATAACAGGTTAATGTTGTTAGATTAATTAAAGATAGATTAAATAAGATTACTTTAGCTATTGGAGCCGATGATGTTAATGTGACTCAGGCAGTTTGGAGTTGGATTATAAGAAAATGAAGGAATGAAAGCAGTTTTAAGTGATTTTGCTTTGAAATAATTTTGATGCTTTCAGAGGTTGAATATATAATTTATTAAAAGTTTCATATAAATTTAATAGGTTCAAATATAAAAAGATTTTTAACTATTGTAGTTTATGGACATTGGAATAAAATTGTAATTGCAGAGATGGTACAAAAACATCATATTTACTGCGCCTTAATTCTTTTTTTCATATTACTGTGCCTTTTCTTGATAATCTTAATTTGATGATTAGTATATCTCTTTCTATAATCTTATCTTTACAGCATTAACTCTTATTGTGAGAGGCACTTTTGATTAGGATATTAATTATAGATAATATTGTGAATATAGAAGAAGTAGGAGAATATGTGTGAAAAAAATAAGAATAATATTTAAGACTTAAATTTCCAAGTCTTTACAAAGAAGACCCTAACTTAATTGTTGAATCTATTAAGTCTGAAGGAGAATAAGGTTCTTTTAAATAAAAATTGAT